AGGTTGAGATCAGGAGTTGTTAGTTGGAATAACTGAGCTACTAAATAATATATGGAAATCAAGGCGGTTGATCACTAGTTTGCAGGAAAAGAAGATAAACATGGAGGAATCAGCTGAATGCATCTATGAATCTAGGTCTAGGACATTGGCATACGTCATAAAAATGGAAAGATTCATCGGAAAGACACGTGGAGTGGTTTTCACCTAAACTTCAACAGCTTTCACCCAGTCAGTTCCAAACAATATCTGGTAGGATCACTTCCCAACCGTACGCTAACACTGTGCTCTGAAGAAGAATATTGAAGAAGAACTGACCCCTGTCGAAAACTGTCTACGTCAAAATGGCTACCCATAAACGTTCATTCACAAGTACGGTAGGACAGGAGAATTAAATGCTGTGCAATTGACAAGCTCATCTATCTACACCTTGCCTTCAAAGGAGATGAAATCGTCACATGGGTGAGTAATAGACTGAGTACTGCAATGAAAAGGACCTATCCAGCCTCCAGGTAAGTTTAAGGGTATGTGCCAAAGCACATACATCGGGAGAACAGAGAGAAGTGTTCTTGTCCGCATTTCCTGAAGAATGTGAGTCCACAAGTAGTGCAGTAGTCCAGCATTTGCTCGATACCGAACATAAAGTTGTATTAAAGTCAGTCAAAGTGAACAATAAACCCACTGTTTGGGAATTCGCTGAAGCAGTTAGAATTCAAAGATTCAGATTTGATTTATGTATTCAGAAAGTAAAGTTGTCAATCTCGCATTACTTTGGTAATTGTTATCTAAATTCGTAAATACGAGATCTCATGAACCTTAGTCTTTTGCACTTCATTTTTCGATCTATTTCAAAGCCTCCTTTCACTTTCTGAGTTGTATTCATCTAATTGCTCAATATAAAGAAAATCTGCTGACCCTTTATTACTTAATCATGTTGTCCTTTATTAATTCTGGAATAACATTGTGCGCAACCTCTCTCTCTCTCCCTCTCTCTCTCTCTCTCTCTCTCTCTCTCTCTATATATATATATATATATATATATATATATATATATATATATATATATATATATATTATAGGCTTTAAGTGGTTGGATTTGTGGATTACACCAGTTAATTTAACCAATAGTATAAACCCTGGTTGCTGATAGAACTTCGGGACGGAATGCTGGTTTAACATTTGCAAATCAACACCAACTAGATGTCTGTCAGTCCTTGGAAAGAATACTCCACAACCTTTTGGGATCTTAAATATCTCCACAGGATTCCACTTGAGCAATAGAACCATAAATCGAGTGTGGGTGTTCGGTCTACACCAGATAAGGAAGCCGATTCAATGGATGTTATTATTGTTCACTGACCGGGCCATTACCACCTACTTTGAAGTGCAGTGCTAGCTGAGGTAGGATTAGGCTCTGCATTATCTTCATATGCTATTCTTGAGCATTTGACTCAAAATCTAATCCACAAGGGCACACAGCAGTACCAAGTATTGTATCCGCATGGTTGCAGGAAATGATATCAATGCATAAGCTACCCATTTCATTCCGACCCTTATACTCATCCTCAACATCTATGTAATTTAGACATGTGTCTGATGGCTGTAAAATCCAGTATTAGTTTGTAAGCCACATTCAGTATAACGGCACACGTTACTACTTGTTTACACGAACTGAAGCAGGTGGTTTGCTGCAACTGAAGGGATGTTTTTTGCCTTTGCTGGTTGGTTGGATGATTCCTGTCATCGATTTTTTTCGAATAGGCTTGTATATTGCGTCTGAGTCGAAATGACGATTTACTGCTAATTTGCTTGAGTTCTACGCTTCTAACAATTGTCGGTCCCCTTTCAACTTTGCACGTTTCAAGTATTCTGAGGCAGTCCGAGTCGAGCGTGTGGTTGTCATATTGGGATGAGAGACTTCATATCATGACGTTTGATAGCTGGCTTTTGTTCATGCAGGTGTTGTAATACAGGTCTAATCCGATGTTTCACACAGTGGTGTCCGAAATCATTACAATTAATTTTGTAGATTGGTTTGCACATGATATATTCTGACGATTTTGTTAGTTTATGTGGTACCGCGATTCCAAGTGGATCCAGCAATCCGCTTACCGTTCCCGGGACATTCCTTATGTATGCGAAGACTAATTTCCTGTTACTTTTTTGTAGTAGATTTTGATTTGATAGAGACAAAAAGTGAACCGATCGGGTTGGATGTTCATCCACGTACTCATCATTCTACTAGTCAGGTTAGGCTTAGGCCAGATACCACATTACAAATACCTAAGCACAACCGATTACTTCATTTCCGTGTGAGGTTCTAAGGAAGACATCTAGAATGAATCCACAGCTCAGTAAATGACTCAATCGGGACAGCGAAAACTCTGCAGTTAGACCGTCGCATGGAGGAATAGAGAGAGTTACTTGACGACCACCATAAAGAAAAACGGTTACCCACACAATCCCATCAGCAGCAAAGTCAATAGACGGGTTACCGTTCGCTATTTGAAGAACACACCGAAGATAACAGTAAAACTACCGGGGATGTACCGAATTGCATTGACTCAAAAACAAATTCTTCCTAGACTATATTATACAAACCAAAGGATACAAAAGGTAGGGAAGATCAACCATAAACTTATCGTGAAATTAACTGACAAACATCGTATTGAAAAAAGTGACCGCTTTCATTATCTGCATGAATATCAGTCAATGATTATGCGTCACAACATGTTATCTTTTATACGGATGCCTGTGAAAAACTGTGGAGAAATCTGTAGGAATATTGACTAAAAGAAACAGAATCCCAGAGGATTTCCAGAAGTTTCACACTCAAGTCAATCAGGAATCAACAGGTGCTTAGATGAACAAAATCAACGTAGAACCTCACGCACAAGTGCATCAGTCCAATTTGCCACACTTCATAGTAGTATACAAAGAACGGGTGGACAGAAAAAGACTGATATCAAAGTAGACAATGTTATGTGCGAGAATAAATATTCTGAAAGCAACGGCTAGTGCGAATGTTCAGACTTTAGAAGACTTCGACGAGTAAATACATCAGCGCCATTCTAAACAATTTTAAGCCGTGTCACTAAGACTCAGTCCTCAACCACTGATTCCTTTCGTTTTGGAGACCCCAACCACGCAGTCTACCTCTCTTCACACGACTCAGACCAACATTTAGAAACTTCATCGACTGGTGCGACTTCTTGGTCTGACCAACACCCTGAACAATCTTCCAACCTAAGCTAACATCCCCTAAGATGAAATAACGAGGAAGGCGGTGGCTCAATCGATGAAGGCTCACAACCTCATCGACCGAATCACCTATCTTTCCTAGCACCCTCCACCTGACCTCAACACTGCTCACATGTTGATTCTACCAAACGTGACCAATGCTACGAAGACACCTGTAGTCAAAACTCTGTAATCACTTCATGTGTTCTACCTATAACGGCCACGTCTCACAACCGGATATCAGGACAGAACAGACTGCAGAACAGTATACGCGTCCTCTGATAGATAGTCGGATATCTCCCCGGCGCTATAAGTGACACATGTTGGCAAATGCCGAACGGGCCTTCTGTATTGAAGTTGAGATTTTCTCACTAACCAGCCCGTTCGGAGGGCTGATGCGTCTCTCCGAATAAGTGAAGTGATCGACATACTTCACTGTCTATCATTAAACTGGGAATGGTTGCAGCAGACCAGTCGTGGAACATCATCTTAAATTTGACAGGTTTCAGGGAAACTCATGCCAAACATACTCATAGTTCTGCTCAACACGTTCAGGAGACCCTTCATTTTGTCAGCATCTTCACCTAGAAGGACAATATCGTCTGCACGCCCCAAGTCAACCAGATGACCTCCGGGGAGCAGACAAATATCTGCCAAGCCATACGTACCTAAGATTATATCCATTGATATACCCATGACGAAGTTAAATGGGAACGGTGATAGTGGATATCCCAGGTGGAGACTATTAGTTGTTGTCAATACTAATGACAACGCTTAGATATATACCCAATCCATATCAAACGTTAGGCAAAAATATGAAGGAATTAAAACGTAAAATAGGAAAATGTCTGAAGTCGGTGACAGCACAATCACAGGAAATAACCAGTCATATGCCACTTTAGTAGTACAAGCTACTACTGATAAATAACTGCAAGGTTATGCAAAGAAACAACCGACAGGAAATTCTATACTATCAGTAATAGAGCCATCAAGTCAAATTTCGAATCACATACCGCTTGATCAAGATAAGCAGGCTACAGAATTACTAATGCAGAAACCCGGATGTTGTATTTCATACTGAAGTGAGCGTTGATGATGTCATCTACAAAGATCATGAACCATCTAACTGAGAGAATGCAACAATACAACAGCAAAAATACTCCAGATGTCATTCATGGTAAACAAATATTTCAGCTAAAAGGAACACTGGTTAGACAGAGATAAACAACAATCAGAAACATACATGTGTATATGCTATATCCATACACCGACATGAAAATCTAGAGCAACACGAAGAACAAAGCGCACAAATCAAGAATCAACATCACCTATACCGATCAAGACAAGTGACCAAAAAAAAAAACTGTAATAGTCAAATAGTCAAAACGATAACTATGACACTAACATCCGGAAATGCCAAAGAAGCTGTGGTATACACACAGCAAAACATTCAGGAAACTCTTGTTTTCGATTTTTTCTAAAAACACACTGGGATTATATTAAAACTCACTTATATGTAATGAAGAAAGAAAATCTAAGTTGAAAAAAACAACAAAGAGATAATCGTAATTAAAACATAGTTTACAATGAAGTGCACAGCAGTAGAGTCGCTAGTGTATAGTATTTTTTTTTTAAAGTGTAGGAAATATAGAAACGAAACTGTGCACAAACAAGAAAGAATATTAAATAACATTTATTTACAAGAAGTAAGCAGAAATACAATAATTCGTTGATCAACAAAACTGTTTACTTGTTGTTTACCCTCATGTAGAGGATAATTCACTTCCAGCTAATGCAAGCAGATTTTCACGTCGTTGTATACTAATACGCTTTTTACACGGACGTGTCTTTTTAGGTTGATTAGGTCTACGACGTCGATGATTACTATTATTAGTAATAGTTATAGCATCATTTGAGTCTACGTCTAAACTCATATCACGTTGTTGTTGTCTGTTCTTTTCTGAGATCGTATTGAATTTTTTCATAACATCCGGTGGCCTGTCATATTCTTTATACAGTTCCTCAGAATATGCAAGTACAACTTCACCACGTTTCCATCCAGTCAAATCCTAAATTCCAGGGATACGAAAGAGGAAATAAACTTAGCTTTATGAGTGTACACCAACTTTATCATCATCATCATAATAATAATAATAATAAATATTTTAACAGCATGTTGAATACTAACTGATTACCACATCATAGTCGACTTCATTTTCGAGTTCTGAGTGTTGGTTAAAGTCTACTGATCAAAATACGCAATTCATCCAGTAAATTAATTGATTCATTATCAAATAATCGAAAGTATTTGGTTGAAGAACCTAGTTCACTAGTCACTAGCCGGTCCTAAACCCGGATAAAGAGGGAAGGTTGGGCATAGGAGCTAGCAACCCTACCCCGGAAAACCAATCCAATCGCTAAAGAAACTTCAAAGCACAAACAAAATACAAAAAAATAATAATAAACTTATTCCTCGCTGCAATCGGGCAGACGGTTGGTGAAAGCCTCCGGAAAGCAAATTGGCCTATGTGTCTTCTCTCTTCTCGATGAAAGCAAAAGTAAACATGCGGACATGGAATATCCACACAATGTTTGAAGCTGGCTAGCTGGCTGGCAAGGATGCCCACATTGCAAATGAGATGAGAGGATATAGCATAGAAGTGCTGGAATCTGCAGATCAAATGGAATGGAAGTGGACTCTCCAAACTGTTAACAATCTACTCCGATATTGTTACACAGACGACAACAACGAGCACATTGAGTTTTCGAGTGGCCATAATGACATCCCTAACAGCATCGAAGGCTCATTCTCATGCAGTGGAAACCAATCTCCTCCTACAGGATCAGGATCATGACGACAAGATTCAAATAAAAAGGAAGGAAGGAAAGTCACAATCATACAATGCTACGCTACGCACCTACAAATAATGCAGGCACATACCAAGAGAAGGAGGAATTCTACAGACAACTGGAATCAGTAACGGACAAGACCTCACTCCAGTTGGCGACGGCAACATCAAAATTCTAATGGGCGACATGAATGCCAAACTCGGAGCAGACAACGCAGGAAGAGAACTAATCATGGGTTGAGAGGCACTCGGTGAAATGAATGAAAATGGAGAAGTTTTTGCAGAATTCTGTGCATTCAATGATTTGGTGATTGGAGAGAGTGTGTACAAATACAAGGATATTCAAGAAGCGACATGGATTCGATTTCGCCAGACATCAGACACACTAAAAATCCACCTCAAATCGACTTCATCTCAATATGAAGAAAATGGAGATACAGCCTACTACTGGATACAAAATGAAGAAGGGGAGAAGATGTAGGTTGACATCGCTCACTGTCTAGTGCAAGGAACCTACCTTCCAAATCAAGTTGAAAGCCTTCACAGAAATTGGTGATAGACCACAGTTCACAGTTCAAGTTGAACACCTAGAACAGAAACTGAAGAACGAAACTATAAAGGATATCTTCACATCAGTCATCAGGGAAAAATGGGAGACATTATGCATCATCCCTGAAGAAACCTGTGTAGAAGAACACTGGAAGTCTTTGAAAGAGATGTTGAAAGAAACCTGCACAACAGTATTAGGAAGGAAGAAGAAAGAAGACAAGCAAAGGAGTGGATCTCGACGGACACATGGAAGCTGACAGAGCAGGCAGAGGAGGATGGTGAGGCAGAAGATAAACCAGTGCAGTGCAAGGATGCTCAACGACAAGAGGAACTGAGCACAATGTATAAAACACTGGGCAAAGAAGTGAAGAAGAGTGCACGCAAAGACAAAAGACACTTCTACGAAACACTGGCAAGTGAAGCAGAACAGGCTGCAGGTAAGAGAGACCTGACAACATTGTATCAAGTAACCAAATTACTGTCCGGGAAGAGATCAACGCAGACGAAACCAATGAGAGATAGTGAAGGAAAGCTAGTTACTAAAGAACAGAAACAAAGGAAACGGTGGGCTGACCACTTCAAAAAACTCTTGAATCGACCACCCCAACCACCACCTGCAACTCGTCCAGAAATACCACTAGCAACGGCAGAAATGCCAGGGAACACAGGCTCTCCAACAAGAGCAAAAGTCCTGAATGCCATAAAGTTGCTGAAGTCTGGGGAAGCAGCAGGACCGGGTGGAATCCCTCCAGAAGCACTGAGGACAGACGCAGAGAAAGCAGTGGACATGCTCACACCACCACTACAAAAGGTTTGGAAGGAAGGAAGATACGTGCCGACTAATTGGAAGAAGGGCTACCTTGTCAATCTCCTAAGGGCGACCTAAGTCTTTGCAAGAACAAGAACTAGTGCGGAATCAAGCTCCATCCCTGTCCACCCAAGCAAAATGTTATGCGCATAATCTTGGAGAGACTAAACATGCTCTGGATTCAAAATTACGACTGGAACAGTCTGGCTGGCTAGCTTCAGGAAGAACAAATCATGTGCGGATCAAATTGCAACGCTACACTGCTCATCATCATAGAACAGAGCACAGGATAGCAGTCAACTCAACTTAACCTCAACTCCATCGACTTTGAAAAGGCCTTCGATACCGTCGACCGAGAAGTAATTTGGCAGGCAGCTGCTTCAACACTACGACTTTAGTGACACAAACCTTTATCAACCTCATTCAGTAGCTATATGCTATATGATTCTACATGTCAAGTGATTCACAATGGAAAGCTTAGCTTAGTGAAGTGAAGACAGGAGTAAGATAGGGTTGCCGCCTACTATCACCGATGATCTCTTCCTGATTGTGGTCGACTGGACTGAACTTGACTGGACTGGATCATGTGACAAACTGTGAGGAGCGAGAAGATGGGCATATGCTGTTTGACCGATGAAAAGATCCCAGAAGAAGATTTGGATGTCGCCGATGATGATGATTTATGTCAAATGTCTTGTCGCACAAACTCGAAGATCTACAGGAGAAAATTAACAGGTTGGCAGAAGAGGTGAGGCAGTAAACGTAGAGAAGACACAGGTGGTGAAGATACCCAACCAACACCATCAGCAACAACAACAAGCACTAATCACTATCAACAGGGGAAGTCTAAAGGAAGTTGTTTCTTTCACCTACCTAGGCATCATTGTCTCAACTACAGGCGGTGGTGGTACAGATGAGGACGCCAAAGCTAGCATCAGAAAGACAGCAAGACAGGCCTTCATCAACCTGGAATCAGTGTGGAGATCTACTGCACTCAGCATAAAGCATGAACAAGATCCGGATTTTGAACACTAATTCAGTCAAGTCAGTGCTTTTATATGATGGTTGACAGACTTGGCGTGTTACGGGCAGCATTTCAAACAAACTGCAGACACACATCAACAAGTGCCGCCCGCGCTCACTCGATTATGAAGATCAGATGGCCAGAATAATAAGAATTAGCCACAAGGAACTCTGGGAACGAACCCACCATGAACCCATCACCCAACATATATGCAGAGGAAAATGGAGATGGATTGGATTGGACATACACTGAGAAGACCGTTTGGAGACATCATGAGCCAGGCCCTCGAGTGAAAGCCAAAGGGGAAATGACAAATTGGGCGTCCAGGGGTTGACATGGTGAAGATCGTGTGAGGAAGAAACAAAAGTTTGCCGACAGTCGTGGAGCCAGGTTGAAAAGACTGCAGAGAAGAGAATGAAATGGTGACGTGCTACTGAAGCCCTATGTTGCACTAGGAACCCAAGGGACAAATAATCACAATACAATGATTTGGTTGAAGATGATTCAATGTAAGCACTACAAAGTATTAAACTGACATTTACAACCTTTTCATTAATCTTCATCACCTTCACCTCGGCTACGAGCTAGAGAAATGGCCGTCCGCTGTTTATATCACTTACATCTAGCTGGTGAAACATTACAGATCAGTATGAGGGGTTTCTAACTACTCAAACTGTCCAGTAGTATTATCTTTCACCAGCTCATGAAACTTTTGTGTTAGAGATTATACTTTGTGATCTTGGCTGTAGAGTGGTTTCAAATAGAAACCGCTGTTGACACCACAGTTGGGCAGTTGAAAAACTACTCAGATATGAGAAATATCAACGTGAACCTTACAATTTGTAAATCACTTGAGAATCCTCCACCTTATCTATAATATGCATCTAGTTTTACTGAATTTATTACCGAAGTCTCCATTTGTGTTCGAATAGTAATGCTCTTTCTAATCACGAAAACACGAACTGGTAATCGTAAGTTGTTCCCACATATGAGGCATGTTAATATTAGTTGTGTAATGATGATTTACTGATCTATTGAGATTGTATACGGTTGACGAAAATTCCATGAAATAAAAGGATGACATTACTTTCCTCCGTACACGGTGTTCTCGCTGGGTTTATTAAGGGGAATAAATGCATCAAATGAAAAAAATAGCCGTGGAAGTTATGGGCATTTTATTTCAAGATAGTATCCATCATGGAGTGACATCAGTTAGAGAACAATCGAATATTTGGGGGCACCAGAGCGCTGTTAAGCTCTAGTAGGGGAACTCCTCGGCAGTAGGTGCCGACGATGATGAATACTACTTTGAAATAAAATCCCCATACACCTCAAAACACATTACTGTATAGTGCTCATTAGTGACATGCTTCTAGATGGATTACTGGAAGTTCTCATGAGAAGCCGTGACCTGTGACATCCACAAGTTAGAAGTGAAGTGGATACCAACTGAAAAACTTAGTGGGGAATCGCACTATACTGTGAACTGACATAAGTAGGAAACTGTGGACTATTGAACTCCGACCCAGTGGCTGAATAGCCAACAGATTCACCGAGAAAATGAACCAGTGAATACATCTGTAACACTGGTGTCAATATTGAGTCACCATAACTAAGATATTAAATCATAGATTTGTGATATCCCAAAATGTTTACGGTCTTCAGAAAAAAAACAGAATAAGAATCGCAAAAATTTGATAACTGGTCACTACCATTTATTTATTTTACCTAGATAACTATACCAAACATAGAAACTGGTAAAGAAGTTTACCAACTCAATTTGTTATGTTTTGCGGGAAAAAAAAGCATATGAAGAAGATAAGATATTCAATAAAATGCTGAAAGCTTCAAGAATAAGAATAATATGGAATGAAAACATTTGCACCGGTGTGATCAACTCTCAGCCATATAACGGAAGGTTTACAACCAAGTCTAAGCAGTCTAAACTTCCCTACACAACTGACGGAAAAAAACTCATCGGTGGTATTATTTTATCTTGCTTCCACTGATACCACACGTCGACGAAAGCGTTGGTTAGTTGCGTGTGTTCAAAACCTGATAACCTGTATCAATCTTGGAGACTTATAGTGGAATCCAGGACGCGCGTTTCGTCCCATTCTGGACTCGTCAGCTGGATGTCCGAAGCGTTTGAAGTGATGGGTACTGAGTCCGAGTCTCAACGAGAACAACATCACTCACTGAGATACAAGCACATCCAGTTGACAAATTTAAAATAGGACGAAACGCGCGTCCTAGGTTCCACTACGAGTCACTGGGACGAACACCTAGTAGTATCGAGGTATCCGCATAGGAGTCCATCTTCCAACAAAGGTCGAGGAATTCGACCCTATATAGCAACCAGGAATTACAAGTAGCAAACAACAAACTCGTCACCTGATTTAATCTTTTCATCTAAAATTCTACACTTAACCTTGGCCTCGCTCTTCCGATAATTCTACCATACAATATGATGAAAGTAACAATGATATAGAAATGTTCACTAAGAATTATAAAGAAGTTGTTTCTCAATGGTAAAATTTCATATTGACCGAAAGTGTAATCGGAGAAATAAAAATTACTTGGAAGTAAAGATTACCGTATGTATTGTTGATAAGTGGATACAACCTTCTTAAGATTAAGTACGACTAACAAGGTGAAAGGATAGTCTCATCGGTTCACACTGCATGTAATAATTGGTTTGTAAGGAGGAAACCAGTCAGCATGAAGCTTTGAAATTTAGTTTCATGTCTGTTGACATTCATCATCATAAAATGTTCGAAACCTAGAGTAAACTGATGCTCCCACAAGGATTCTTACTTAAATCCCTCGGTTATGAACTATAAACTTTATTTTAAATACTTATTCCCCTTTGTGAACGTGAATAACGCAATGAAAACATCATTTACAGGATAAGGTGACATCATTCATTCCATAGGATTTTCTTCAGCTGCATGGAGAGTTTCGAGATACTGTTTAACGTTCTAAAGAACAAGAGACTACAATAATTCAGGAAATAAAGGAAGTTCAGGTAACAAACTCAGTTAAACTACATAACAGTTGAATGTCTAACGCGTTCTCCCGAGTTTGATCGCGGGGCAGGGTCATGGGTGCGTACTGCTGAGGAATCGTATATTAGGACGAAACAGTTCCCCCATACTCTCAGGTTTTCAACGGTTTTCTAATTGATAGCAGTCCCTGATGAACACTATCTTAAAATAAGTTTCACTTCTAAGTGAAATTTCTATCACATTCAAAAATAATTTCATAGAAGCATGATTTTATATCCAGTGAATAGTTAGTCACTTTATGGACAGAACACGTCATTATCACTTCCTTATAATTTTATGTATTTATTTTATTCAGTAGTCTGATTACTATACGTGGCTTTAATTTTGAAATAATCCGATATGAATGAGTATATGATATACCAGCATAAAATATTCTCGTCAGAAAAAAGTATTCAGTTTTTACGTGTCATGTGTAATAATAAAATGATTCCGCAGTTCATTCAAATTTTCTTTCAGAAAAATAGACATTTGGATTGGTAAATTACTAAACACATGCAGCACATTTGTCTTAGTGATACCGTTCATTAGCTTTGTTTGATAAGATGTTAACAAGATTACTATTAGAAGAACTATTTTAGAAGTTAGAGGATTGAGGTCTGCACTCTAGTGTCAAAGTAAGCTAGAGAAATAAATTACTGAGGGATGAGAGGGATGTCACAGACTTGAGAATCTGGGAGTACTGGAAAGCTGTTTCGTCTCAGTATGGGACTCTTCAGTAGTGTGCACCACAACCGCACGAGGGATCGAACCCAAGACCTTCAGATTTCGCCAAGAGCACGTTACCATTGAGCTGCTCGATCGGAATTCAATGGTCAACATTTTACTACTTTGAAGTCACTCACTGTTGTCTCCGTAAACAGAAATAATTAGAGAAACAACCAATTAATTAAAAATGCCCTTTACTTGTCTGACCTCTGTTCTCACTCTGACACTCTGTTTGGCCCCCTACGCGTTTAAGGCCTTGTAAATCCTCTAAGCATCTTGCTATACACAATATAACTGTGAATTGTGTAGACGAACAGTACAACCCCATCTTCCCTTTGGGTCAGCTGGCGTGATGTTAGTGGCTGTAGGATCAACTCGGAAATAGTAACTTGGGGCATGAAAATAGTTGGGACTAGCGTTGGAAATTTCCCTCAATCCGTTAATCATATGTCCCAATAGGAAACCCAAACCGAGTTTAAGATTAGAACAGTCAGTGAAACCATGAACTCAAAAAATATAACAGTGGCGACGGGGTCAACTCAGGAAAGAATGACTAAATGAATATCACTGAAAATGTCCAAACTTTTGAAGATGATGCAATCATTGTGACCGATTTCCAGCAATATTACCAAAAGTCTCTTACTATGGGCTACTGTCATTCAGATGACCCCAACTAACCGAGATTATAACAAGTAGACTAAAATATGATGAATATCTGTTTCAGTATCAAGGTCTTCGTATAAGATGCCATATGCCAACAGAGGTAGAGCAATTCAACCCAGTATAGCAACGGAAAATCACAAGCGTCGATAAACAACAATTGATACTCGTTTCGCAAATGGTGGCTCTCGTAACATAGTGGGTAACTTTCTGGCATTCGAAGCGATGAGTAAAAGGTTCGAGCCCTAGGAGGAAAACACCACTAGCTGAAATACAGTTACATTCAGCTGGTAATTAATTCTGAAAGAAGACGAAACGCACGTCCTGGATTCCACTGTTAACCACCAAATAGACTACAATATAACGAGATTATGGCACATTCATCTATGCACAGGTGAGCAACACTCCACAATACAACCAATATTAATAGAAAAGAGATTTAAACACAGTTGAGTCTGATTCATCAACCAACAGAACACTAAATCACTAATGGTGTAATAGATCCAACTTTTAATCTAACCAGTAAATAATAAAATTTGGGTTCCTCTTTTCAAGTTTCACTGGATGAGTATCAACTATGAGTTTCCTATCGATGTACAAAAGATGATTTTTCATTTTAAGACAATTATGTGAATGAGAAAAAAATATTGAGATATCCTACAATTTTTTCACAAAAAAGAAGAATACCGAACAATGCCTTAATATTTTATATCAAAATAACCATGAGTATAGGAAAACAGTAAAACTTTAAGAGAAGTAATGTTGGTAGTGAAAATAACTTCCCTATTGAACAACTTATAGTTTATTGTTAATCATGTATAGACAACGTTGTTGGTTTACCAAATTAATAGATAGAAATAGCAAATGTTTCAATAGGTATATCCAAAGTAAAAATATTCAACAAAGGTTTCTATTAATGTTGTTCTATCAATTAAACGACTATTAATCATAATGAAAAACAGCCACAATTCAGGTATATTTTATCTGGAGGCTTGTGGAGATTTATTAATTGATTTTAGATTGGAATTCACCACGGAACATAGGAAAACTGGGAGCATTGGACAGCTGTTTCGTCCTAATATGAGAATCCTAAGTAGTATGCACATATGACATCGCCCCATCAGCAACCAAACCGAGGACCTTCAGGTTTCGTGACTAACACGTTACCACTGATCCACTGGGTCGGAATCCAGTGGTCAATATTTCCAACTTTTGTCAGTTCACGATATAGCGTGACCTATATCCAATGTAGTCTTTGAGTAACTGTCCTCATGTTCGACGTGGTTGACTTCACTGGACATGACTCCACATTGGAATTTTGGGGAATAACTTCTCGAAGCTAGTCACCACTGAGCGCTGGATCAATTCAGTTTAGAGGTTTGTGGAGGTTTGTTAATTGATTTTAGGTTGGGACTCGTCAACTGGATGTACCTGCCTCCCAAAGAGCGATGTTGTTCCCATGAAGACTCGAACCCAAGACGGATCACTTCAAACACCAGATCACTATTTACTAGGTCACTGAGTTATGATAACCAGTTCTTGTGCAACGGATGTAGTTTATTCGAAAGTGCTTGTATTATCCCATCGTTGATTGAACCGAATTGTTCTATACTGGCGTATGGACTCCTGTGAGGATGTCTCGATACTGCCTGTAGTTTTATTTTTGATACTAATGGTAATTAGGGGCTAGCAGTGGAACTATGAGTCATAGTTAGCACAAAATAGTTTATGCTACTAACCCATTGCTAAGGTTTAAGTAGGCAAGTTCACTTATGATTTACTTTTTACTACTGTTTTGTTGACTAACAAGCGAATAACCTACGTACGTCTACAAGTAACATAACAAGTAAGTAAATAAAAATTAAAACATACCGATTTAGTTGGTTGTCTTCCGCTAGAACTACATCGATAAGTATGAATGTTCACCTTGTCGCCTTGTTCATCTAATTTTTCATTTGTCTTACAGTTATCATCAGTATTCCAAATAGGCCACCAAAGACAATTTACTTCCAGCGGATAATGCATTGAGAATAGGGGAAGATGGGATGAGTAAAGATTTAGCTAAGTAGAAAGACAGAACTAATAAACTACCATAATTGTAAGTTGGATTGATACAGATACGGGCTTATGCAGCAAACGGTAACTGATGTGAGCATAAGCGGATCCTGTTATTATCATTCTTGTTTACATTTGTTATTGAGTGAAATGAAAATCTGGGTTGTGGCAGGATTCGAACCAGTGACCTCCGGTTCACTGACCCGGTGTCCTAACAGCTGAGTCATAAGAACCAGCTACTGACCAGATCATAATTTCACTCCAATTACCAAGCTTTTGCTCGACTGCCATATGAATTCACGATGCGTCGTTATCACTTTATTGTAATTATCCTCTCTTATTTAGGTTGATTTGGATTGGGATGAGAAGTCGTGGCCGGGTAGCCAGTGTGAATATGATGGACAGATAGTAACGCAACACGAATTCACATCCCAATGAGATTAAACCCTTGGTGACTGAAGTGAAATTAAGTTATAGTCAGCAGTAGATTCATGTGGCTCAGTTAGTAGAGTACCGGACCAGTAACCTGGAGGTCGCTGGTTGGAGACCTGCGGCAACTCAATTTTTCCTTCACCTTCGATCATCATTTCATATCAATACAGGCCTGCGAAACCACGGCTATCTTAGGCAGTCAAAATGATAATTTATGTTTGTGGAAACGAAACTGACTGTTGAATTAGACATTTGAAATCAAGACTGTGACCATTCACAGACTATAGTAAACGAAATCTAAAGGCTGAACTCCAAGCCCGCTGAATATATATATATATATATATATATATATATATATATATATATATATATATATATATATATATATATATGGATTTTACGCGTAAGTCGAGCTACCCTAATTGACCCTGTTTGACTGGCTGAACCTGAATATACCATCTCAAAATCATTAAATGAGAATTCGTAGGTCAAACTGCTTCGGTTAATAAGTTTGGTAGAATCTTTTAGTTGAGAAAACTATCTCTACGTGAATTTGTAGGTTTAAACACCACTCTAATCCCGACCTTATTAAGAATCTTATGTAGGACTTCTGATAACTTTCCTTTGTATGGTAAAATTATGGTTTTAAAATCCTTCCTCGTGGTTTCATTGTCAACACTGTATGTGCTTCTGGTCAAATTCATGCGGATAGTTATTGAGTAATACTACGTCCTTCACATGTTTTATTTATTGACACAGATGTTCTTCCTTATTAGTTAGTTTCCATGCTCTATTACTTAGGCATTTGACCAAACCTGACCTGATCTGAAGTCAAAGTATTGATTAAAATGATAAAGCTTTTTGTAGAAACTAGTATCTGAACCCACGTTTTTGTTTGTTTGATTTCTCAATCGATAAAAGTTTTCGAGTGATGAAGAACTAACTACGCTAATAGTTTGGCCGGAATACTTTGAATAACGGCTCAAATGGCCTACAGTCACGCTCTAATTGCTCATCATTCAGGTCGAACCTAAGTGGGATATAGATATCAAGCTTCTAAAACTAACTAAATTCGAAAACACTTCTAAACGTGAAACAGTGCAAAGCAAGATAAACTTGCAGTTCGCCATCGAAAATTTTCAACAGTAAAAGGAGGAAGTTACTGATGAGAACAGCTGGGAGATTAACTAGTGTAAGATAATTGCCAAGAGTCTTATCATATTGGTCTGGATCGCTGAATCATTACGGTTCATGCGAAGAGAAGCCTTCCTAAACAAGAAAGACATGAGGAAATAAGTTTGATGAACATCATGTCTCAGATCTTAGGGTCCATGGTCATCCAATGCCTGATTGAAGCCGAAGAACAAAACTCTCCACAAAAACCAAGCAGGTTTGAGACATGGATATCGATTAGATCTTCACCCGTCGACAGGTTTTGTAATAAAAGTATACCTACCGGTGCCTGACATTTGTTATAATTTGAAGGTAGCATTCGCCCCTACCAACTAGAAGGCATTGTGGTATTATCTGTCTGAGAAAGGAGTTTTGTGCAGGTTTACAAGACTGATCAAGGCTCAAGGATTTCTGAATGTCATAAGCAGAAAATAAGTACATTTAGAGTGTATTTTGCTTCTTAATTCCATTTATGATTATAACATTATGGATTGAGCAGTTCATGTTCCAGATATCCAACTACAAGACTGTAAAATAAACGATGAAAAACAATCAGAGAGATGTGACAGATCTAATATGCTTACCCGGAGCACCAATAAATACTTTACATATAGATTTGGGAGGCAAAAATTCTGAGAAATTAGCATTCCCAGTAAAATGTTTGTTACACAAACCATAGATAATCGGAAGAAGCGCAGGGAAACGATTTGTCCAATAGGTTGCCATGCCTTCTTGACTATATCCGAGAATAGCACGAATATTATCAGGCAAAGACCAGATATGATTGCGTTTATTTCGAATAGCTCGAAGAAGATACAAAAGAGAGGTATCCTATAGGGATAAAAAAAGTAAAGGCACAGCAATTGGAAAAGAAGAAAAACTTCGATAAGTGCTAAGCGCTCAAGAGTATACAACTATATCGGTTACGCACTGGTGACCGAATTGTGTACATAATCCAGATTTATGAAGGGTCAGTTAGTTGTGACATAGACAGCTAAGTGGTATGTCTGTGTCTTCATCCCGGAGTGACGCAAATTAGAATCATCGAGGAAACATCACTTTCATCATGGTTGCGGACAAATCTTACAACAAGCTTGCAATCGAAGGTCGAGCACGGCTTCCTAGCAACTGACTCTTAACATCTAACCCCTAGCCTAACACCTGTTGATGAAACGTTATACTAGCTACCTACTGATCTTCTTACTGCCTAGAGATAGTCATCATCGGCCTACACTATGAGAAAACAGACAGATCAATCAAAGAAAACAAAACAAGCATACAAATAAACCATTAAAAGCACAAATAGAGTTGAGACAATAAGTAGATGCAAAATGAAAGGATATTCGAAATTCAGAAAAGTATTGAAAAAATTAAACCCTTGCGATCACTTCTGAACTATAGTGTCAAGCAAGATCTTCACTCATCCCCTTTGACAGTCTGGTATACTCAAGATGAATAGCTGAGAGTTTCTTGAACCACTCAGACTGATAATCACGGGCTGAGCATATTGGTGTCACATTTTATCCTGACCAACTTGAGATCAATTCAATTCAACTTCCACTTCAACCAACAGCATTTACTGAGACAATCACCAACTTATTATAAAAAAGTAATTTCTTATGCAGCATAACACAAAACAGAGTTGGATGACATTCCGAGTAGAATTTATTGTTCATATTCATATAACAGTGATCATTACTGCTTTCAAACGTCACCTATATGTAGTGCAGCAGTCCTTCACCCTTTTACTTTAATGGTAGTGAAATTTTCCACATGTCTACAATATGCGATGAATCGATCTTTTTGTTGATTTAATGAACAAAGATTCTGTAATCAATATCTCTCCATCTAGCTATATTGGATTTCAGAATTGTCATCCCATTTCACCACATTCTGTGGTTACGGGTCACTGTATGTAGAGAGAGCTGAATTCTTCTTCAACTTACTTATCTCAGTAGGGTCTTTCACCATATGCTACCCTGTGCAGCGCTATTCCTGACCAACCCCGACCGGTCCGATAGAACCAATTAAGCAAAATAATCTTATCAATCAAATTCCATGTAATGACTGTGAGGTCAAGTATATATGCCAAACTAACCGGTTGGGATCAGTTAGAATAGCCGAATATAAGAATTTAGATAAATATAGAATAACAGACCTAAATAAGATCAATAATCTAGGAGAAAACTTAGCTATTGCTGTGCATGCATTAACACACAACCACACAATAAGGTGGGATAAAGTCATTGTACTCAAGTCCAATATAATTAGGTGGAGAGAGAAATTGACTACTGAATCTTTGTTCATCAAATCAACAGGCAACACATGTAATAGAAATGATGCAACACCTATACCAGAGATATGGGGTGACATAACTACAGAAATCGAATGTCGAAAGTAGTGTGACTACATCGATATGATTATGAGCAATAATTTATACTCAAAACGTCATTCAGTAAATAATACTAGATTACTGTGTGTTATAAATCAAATAAACAAATCTAATATTGAATTAAATTCTACCACAATCCCCAAGTTTTACATCCATAATTTGACCTATGTATTTGACCTCACAATCATTACACGGTATTAGGTAGATTAGTTTGTGTCACTTAGTCAGATCCAGAGAATCTTTTAGCCCACAAAGTTTCTCTGTGAATGAGTTTGTGGGTTTAACTGTTACCTTAAGCCAAGCATCGTTAAGAATCCATCGAGGAATTTCCGTTATCGCTTCCTCATATAGCAACAGTACAGAGGATTTGAATCCCCTTTTAAGTATGCTGGTGACTCAGGGGCAGCTAGTTCGAATCTTGACGCTACCCAGATTTTCATTTTCAAATTCAATCATCCCCCAGTATCAATAATACGAGTCTGCTAAGACCGCAGGTATCTCAGATAGTCAAACTGGAATTACATACTACCCCACAGTACTCAGACGTTACCCTTATATTTGCCAAAGTACTTACCTGATAACCCCTAGTACTCAATAAATCATTGACAAGTTCAGGCTCCAATCTAGCAAACCAATGCTTATTGAATACCCAATTGGTATACCGATCAAGGTCATACAACATTTGTTGATGATGATATTTATTAAAACACTTTCTGGTTAACCGCTGTATTTGTGGAGGGGTTAGATTGGTTTTCATGTTAGTGGGATTGTTGTTTTGGTTCGTGATATTATCGGTGTCTTTACTTTCCTTGATACAATCGCTGACACCTTCATCTGTAGAAGAGTTTGAAGTTATAAAAGTCTTTTGTAAAGAACGATCAAATGAATGATCTCTGATATCCATAACGTCTGACAATTCCTAATTGTGCAAAAAAGAAACATTAAACAATGTATACAATATCATTAGTAGAAGACTGAATACACTGTCATCAGATAAGAATTTTATCGCTATTAATTCACACTAGACAGCATCGAAGTGGAACCTGGCATTACTGTGTAACAGTTCATGTTGCTGCATTTCATATCAACATACATGAGGAGAGAAGTGAAAGATGGAGAAATGAGGAATGAAACAAAAATGAAATCTGTCATGACGTAAGGTGAACATGGCTAGGTCTGAAACCTACCTAGTTTTCTCGTGTTTGCAGTTTCTATGCTCCACTTGAACGTTTGATAATCAAAGTAACTGGAATCTGAGACACCATTTTTGTCAGACTGATTCCCATGTTCTTATTACAAAGGATAAACCTGACGAATACATTGTTTAAAATTCTAGGTTCTATTATTAACGGACGTCTAAGTCAAGCTCAGGAACAACAAATCAGAGAACACCAGGCAGATTTCAGATATCATCATATGAGTACTGATATAAGAAGACTGAAAGTGTTTGCCTACATTGGTTGTGCATTATGCAACGACCGCGTGAGAGATATTGAGGTTGGATATAGACTCTCGGGTACAAAGGTTTATGAATCTTTATCGACTTACGTCCTTAAGATACATACTATGCACGTCAATTCACTGTCGGTTCTTCGGTGTGCTATGTTACTTGAAGCATAGTAAAGCTGGGAAAAGCTAAGCATCATGACGACTAAAACAAGATATCTATTGGTACAGTCTCTAACTGTTGTTATGAACCGTATACGAAAATAAGGACTTCTTTACTGCAGTCCCCGTAAAAACAAAACCGATGATAGACGACTCTAGGTGGTCTCACTTAAAATCGATTGTATTGGTGCAGATGTGATCCATATTTGTGTCTTAATCATTACTTCAAATCTGGTTATTCGTTTTGATCTTTTTCTCTCATTACTTCCAATGGTTTTTGATTTTTCGTTCATATTTGACTTCGTCTGTATCTTGCTACCTTGTAAGTAAAGGCACTGATGTGAGGTGTATCGGTTTAGTAATGTCAAATCATTCTGATAATGACTAACTGAAATGCAGATCCTTTGTTACAAAAAGTAACCTAAATGTACCTCAAGTTTCTAAACATTGCCACTATGAAATGAATACAATTTTAGGGCTGTTTCGCAACCCAACAAGTAGACACAATAAGACTGAACTACGCATAAGCCAACACAAGCGCAGCGTTTTAGTGAGATACGGCATGATTTACATCAGTACAAGACGAAAACCAATAGAAATAGGATAAGAGACGCAACAAGAATTCAATGAAGAAAAGGATACATTAATTGGTTTTGATACCTGTAATTCTCTGTTTTTATATTGGATCGAATTGATCGGCCTAGTGGATAACGCTTCAGCGTTTTAAGCGATAGGTGTGAGGTTCGAGTCTAAGTGGGAACAATACTCACTTGGGTGTAGAAACATTCAACTGAAGAGTCCCAAATAGGGTGAAACACGCGTCCAAACCTCTACTGCCAGTCATAATCAAGTCAAGTGTACACATTTGATTTATTGCAAACGATTTTGAGCATTATCCAACCACCAAGTTTCAACATTTCGACGGTATCAGCAAACCAAACTTTACTTGCTAACAAGATTGAAGCCAGTAGTTGGTAACTTCAGGGATTGATTATCCTTGATTCTCCCTCGCCTGATCATATTCCAGCTACTAGCAAGGGTAGGAATAGATACTGCATAAAAAAGTGGGGTATACGATATTAGTTGGATGGAAGCAATCGGTAGGAAGCCCTGGACTTAGGTTTCATGCTTGTTGGCACTCATTAGCAAGGCGCATCTGCAACTCCAACAAAACTGATGTCCCGTCTGACGAGTGCAAACAAGCCCGAAACCTGGGTCCAGGGCTTCCTGCCCATTACCTCCATCTAAATAGCATCTATCAAAGTGCATCCCGGTGCTGAGCTGCCTAGTCTGGTGACCATATTGCAAAACGATCGATAGGATTCGGTCAGCACACCGGACTAGACAACATGAAGTTGGTCACCCTCCAGTGACCAATCAATGACATGCAATAGCCTAGTCACCGTAAGTCAATGCAGATCCAAGACGAACTATAAAGTTTGTCAATAAGTTGATGATATTCACTAAAACAAAAAGGTATCAATAGGACAAACATTGGACTTTGAGAAAGAGAGAGAGGTGATTTACATCGAGAAATAACAGAAGTGAGAAAGTGTGAACCATTGAATTTCGACCGAGTAGCTCAATCGCAACGTGCTGATGCATAACCTGAAGGTTCTGGGTTCGATCCCCGGCAGGGTCAAAGGTGAGCACTACTGAGGAGTCCCACGTTGGGACGAAAGAGCTGTCCAGTAGTCTGAGGTTTTCAATAGTTCTCCAACTGATATGAGTCTGCGACTAAATACCAGCCTGGAACCAATTAATAAGTTCGCACAATAACTCGGCATATGAACTTGCGGATTCAATCCCAGTTGTTAACATTTCCCAATTCAATCGGAGACAGAATAAGTTGTACTCAACTGCAGATTATACGACGTTAGGAATGTACCACGTTACAATACACAGAATCAATTACATAGTGTAACTTATAAAACTTCAACATTAATCAAAAACAGAGTTAAGATATTGACTGATATTGTCGACCAGGAGTGAGTTAATGTATGTAAGAATTATACGCAATAGTAAATATGGGAAGTGGCTAGCAGAATTTAGGATGAGCATTTCATCTTATTTAAGGCTCATTAGCCGTTAAGTATACTTGCCGACCAGTGAGTATTGTTCCCAATGACTTTCGAATTCAACAGCCATTGCTCCAAACGCTACAGCATCATCTACTAAGCTACCAGTTACAAAAGCGTCTTGGATCCCACTGTTAATGACTATCATCCACCACTAGTGAACTGAAGTCGTCTACCATATCATCGCACCGGCTTAGTAATCCATATGCCAAAAGTGGTCAGTCAGTTTTGGTGTTCACTTCAGTTTGGTGTTCAGTAATCAGCGATGACAAATTGCAGGCTGTATAACACTAGAATCAAAACATTGCAGAAAAGAGACAACATATTCATACCGATATAAAACGTATCACTTTATTCGGTGACCAAAATAATGGATAATAAGTGATCTCTTCAGCTGTAGGTCGATCGTTTGGATTCGATGAAAGCATTGTTTGGATAAGATATCGGGATAAATAACCTGTAGAAAGGAAAGTAGAACAACAAACATCAACAGAAGAAATCAACGACACTTAAAGCAAATAAAAAGACAAAACAAAAATCGTCGGAGTGCTAATGATTAAACGGTGAAAGGGCAAGCCATTTATATAGACAATCAATACAAAAGTTCTGATGGATTTTTATATAACCAAGATAACGATACTATGCCCAACATTAACTACCCAGATTTCTGTGCTGTTATGGGCATACCATTGTTTAATTCAGGAGATTACGACCTAGTGACAGTCTATGATATGCAGTACTACGATGAAACACTATTCTATCATTCTCAAAGATGTTTTGTCTCTGAATTCAGTATATTTTGTTGGTAAGAATATCCGTAGTAGCCAAAGTTTCACAGGGTGTTTTCATCACACTGGTTAGATGGTGGTAGTTTGAAACAAAATCCTCGGTCACCTAGCAAGATTTTCGATAAATGAAGTTATGAAATCAGTTGGGTCTCGTGGCTCAGTCAATAAGGCACTGACTAGTCAATACCTAGGCCTAAGGTCAAAATCCCATCGACACCGATTATTAATCATCACTGATAATATTTTACCAGTATTCAATTAACATCCACCGAATTGCCTTAATATGAAATACTTGGAAATGCTACAAGTCAATAATGCTGAATAAAGATGTCAATGAAGAGGCAACAGATAACGAAGAATAAATGGGACCAGAGTAGAGAAAAGTGGATGCACTCCTGTCGTTGTCCCCAACTTTGATTTAGATCACAAGACTAACAGCTTCTAGCATGATACAGACTGCTTGAAAATGAATCTATGTACTGGCATAAGTTCTTCGTTTAACTAGAATTTGAACTTATCTATCCAAATTGCCAATTAGTGGAACTGTGGCTAATTAATTTAGGGAGATGACTTTCAACTAGTGTGCAACGGGTTCGAGCCCTACTTCGTCTACCGCGGTTTGGACAGCCAATTAGTATCATTAGCCCTCACATAATAATAGATGTGGATCATCGCCTACTGCACGGATATGCATGATGTTGCTAAGTGCGTTTACTTGTTAATACAATTCATACATTAATGAGATTATACTACATGGTCTGAGCTTGATATACAGGCTTAGAGTAACATACCAATGATTGAAGTTAAACTATACTGCTGCCTAAATCCTGAAAGAACCCGAAAATCCTTCACAATTAATCAAAGCACTTCAGATTTTCTATAGAAGACATATCTTCATCCGTATCAGTAACCAGTTGGTTGAAAAGACAAGATTGAAAAAGAATATTTATCGAAAAAGACCTAGAAATATTTCAGGTTGTTATTCATCGTAAACTGACATCAGTTGGAGGAACAAAGGAAACCTGGGAGCACTGGACAGCTGTTTCCTCCTAGTATGGGACTCCTCAGCAGTGCGCACCCACGACCCCGCCAGAAATCGAATCCGCGACTTTCAAGTTCCATGGCCAGCATGTTACCATTGAGCCACTGAGTCAGAATTTAATGCTCCATATTTCCAACTTCTGTAAGCTCATGATATAGTGCAACTGTCCTCACGACCATCAGGCTTTTCCCCCACCGGTCACCTAGAAATAGCCAAGGCCACCGTTCATTTTCAGTTGAATTTCCGTACATAGTTAACATTGAAAACATCTTTTATTGCCTTGCCATCATTACCACTTCAGAGAAATCAAGCGATTATCAACAGTGGAAAATAGAGACCAATCAGTCAAAAGTGGTCATCAGCATATCACGTTATATCATTGCCATGATGCACGTTCCTTTTTGAATTCAGTCATCGCTCTTTAACGAAGTAAATATCACATAATGAGCAGGATGGTTTTTTATATGCGAAAAGCATGTCTGACGCCAGTACAACAGGTTTTTAATGATTATCCCCAATGATATTAGTCCATTATAAAGTTATTTTATGGTTGACATTAATTCCTTTAAAAACCTTTTAGAAAAAGACTATCGTATCTATCTCCGTTTAAACAGGTTTCTGTTACATTCAAGTTTATTGCAGGAAATGAGTAAAAAACACGATGGCAAACAATTTTTTTAACAGGTTTCAGAGGAGCACTTCCTGCCCTAATAATCAAAGCTATGCCAACACATATACACACACATACAGGTATCGATCAACTGCACACACTTGAAGGATAGATTCGTACAAATTCATAACAATGATCAAATTTCAAAACAGCAAACAACTGACCCGAAAAAATCCAATAGAGAATAGCAATTTAGAAAAGATGTAGTCATTGGACTTGTCTGCATTGCTTAAACTCAGGTAGATCATGAAATTAATAGATACTAGATCAGAAAATATAAAACAGAAAATGGAAATAACTTTCGATTTATTGTTAACTACTTATTACCACAAAGTAGTATAATGTTTCACCACCTGAGATAGCAATGATTTGACAGACTTGTATTGATACTGAGAAGTGATTGAAGGCAAGATGAAAATTTGAGCCATTAGAGGATTTGAACAAGCGACCACCAGGTTTCCGGCCCGGTTGTCTAACAAATGTGTCTCATAGGTTGGATGGTAGAGCATAAGGCCGGAAACCCGGTGGTTGCTGATTCGAATCCTCTTGCGGTCAAAGTTTTCATTTCACTTTCAATCATCACCCAGTATCAAATTAGTATGACTAATATGCTGAATACTTCTTCTACCAGAACTCAAAATGCTAGTTTTCCGGTGTTCACGATAGTAGATTTTTAAGTACCATTTCAAAACAACTATAAAATGAACATTCACGACCATATATTAAAGCTATAAATCCCATGGTTCAACAGCATTAATCTGCATTTACATCAGTATATGGACATTTGATCGTGGTCAAAGAAGATAAATGTACCCCTACTAACAGCACCTCTATAAAAATTCTAACCCTGTAAAGATAGTCTTTGAAAGTAAGACCTATTCAAATCGCTACTACGCGGGGGCTATCACACTTTAATCTGGGTGGGTGGAAACATTGAAAAGGTTGGTAAAATTATATTTTAGCTTAAAACTGGGTATAGTTAGTTCACAGTGGTCAAAGGATGATCATTTCAAGGCCCAGTAGAATTAACACAAACGAAACAAATTGCTGACAAATTGGTACCTAAATTTCTTAATTTACTATTATTAGTTGTCCCTTGTGTTCCTAGTGAAAATTAGGGCTTCAGTAGCACGTCGCCATTTCACTCTCTTCTCTGCAATCTTTCCAACTTGGCTCCACAACTGCCCACAAGCTTTCGTTTCTTCCTCACTTTACCTCCTCCATGTCACCCTCGCCTCGGACGCCCAACTCATCGTTTCTCATTTTGGTCATGGCCTGATGTATAATGTCCCCAAATGGTCTTCTCAGTGTATATCCAATCTAGTCCATCTCCACTTTTTTCTGCATATTTGTTGGGCGATAGGTTCTTGATTGGTTCGTTACCAGATTTCTTGGCTGCTTATTCTTTCTGGCCATTTGGTCTTCATCATCGAGTGAGCGTAGGTGGCAGCTGTTGATGTGTGTCTGCTTTCCACAACACGCCAAGTCTCTCAACCATTATATAGAAGCACTGACTTAACTGAATTAGTGTTCAAAATCCGGATCTTGTTCATGCTTTATGCTGAGTGCAGTAGATCTCCACACTGATTTCAGGTTGATGAAGGCCTGTCTTGCTGTCTTTCTGATGCTAGCTTTGACGTCCTCATCTGTACCGCCACCGCCTGTAGTTGAGACGATGATGCCTAGGTAGGTAGTTAGGTAGGTGAAAGAGACAACTTCTTTTAGACTTCCCCCGTTGATAGTGATTGGTGCATGTTGTATTTGGTGGTGGTGGTGTTGGTTGAGTATCTTCACTACCTGTGTCTTCTCTACATTCACCTGAAGGAAGTCCCGTCTTCGCTGCCCCGCCTCTTCTGCCAACTTATTAATTTTCTCCTGCAGATTTTTGAGCTTGTGCGGCAAGACATTAGACGTGAATCATCATCGGCGGCGAAATCATAATCTTCTAGGCTCTTTTCATAGGTCAAACAGCGTATATCCATCTTCTCACAGCTCCTCACGGTTTGCTGTATGATCCAGTCGAGTCGACCACAATCAGGAAGGTCATCAGTGATAGTAGGCGGTAACCTTATCTTAATCCTGTCTTCACTACAAAGGCGCCATTGAGCTTTCCATTGTGAATCACTTGGGACGAAGCATCATCATCAGATAGCTATTGAATGAGGTTGATAAGTGTTTGTGGCACTAAAATCGTAGTGTTACCTGCAGCCGCCTGCCAAATTACTTCTCGGTCGACGGTATCGAAGGCCTTTTCAAAGTTGATGAAGTTGAGGTAAAGATCCAGTTGACTGCTATTCTATGCTCTGTTCTATGATGATGAGCAGTGTAGGGTTGCAGTTTGATCCGCACATGGTTTGTTCTTCCTGAAGCTAGCCAGTCAGACTGTTCCGGTCGTAATTTTGAATCCAGAGCATGTTTAGTCTCTCCGGGATTATGCGGCTTAATATTTTGCGTGGGTTGAACATGCGTGGAGCATGATTCCGCGCCAGTTCTTGCAGACTGAGATCACCCTATATTTCTTAATAATAGATTAGATAGTATAACAAAATCGAACATCACCCTATCATAGAGAATAGGGAAATAAGAAATTCTTATTAATGGATGTATAAGGCAGCTTTTTCAACTACCATTTTTCAACCCAACAGCTTTCACTGACGCCATGACAACACTAATGAATTAACTAACTGATTAGGAAGATAATCTCTAAGTGAATAAAGACGAAAGAACCAAGGAAAAGAAAGTGAATTTCAATTAACAGTTTTTGCCTCTTTGTCTACCTAGTTCAGTTTTTAAAGATGAGAAAAGAAAATCATAATGTTGTTTAGTGACATGCTTTGGCATAAACCATCTGAACTTATGACAAGAAGTCGTGATGCGTAGCGTCAGTTAAAATGAGCGCGGGGACGGAAGACCAACGATATCAGTGGATGATACTGGGACTATATGGAAATAGACAA